AAAAAAAAAAAAAAAAAAAAAAAAAAAAAAAAAACAAACTTAGAGAATCTCAGCAGATCTTTTTTTTTTTTTTTTTTTTGAAAAAAATTTTTTACTTGTAGACCACAAAGTCTCCCATGGATTACAACTAAGCTGAGTTTGTGACACTTTAACTCCAGCTAATATGTTCATTTTGTGACTTTTTTAATCAGCAAGGGATAGGTTCATTAACTGTAGTTGCCCCAGGTGTAATTTAGTGGAGTAAAACAAAAAAACATTTTTCCAAAGACCCCTCAGCATAGAAACGATGAATAAATGATGGCGAAATAATAATAAATCAATGTGAAGGAGGAAGAGTCATCAGACAACAGCCATCATTTGTCTCTTTTCTGCTTGTACTCCCTATCCGGTCCGTGAACTCCTCCTTTGTGTTTCTTTGTTGGCGACAGTATGCGCTCCACAGCCAGAGGCCTCCATACGAGTGGCTGATGGAGGTGTAATGACAACCACAATTACAGCAATTATGTGTTATTGTAGGCCATTATGTATTTTGTAGGCTCGGAGATGTAGGCTTTTTTTGTAATTGCTGGTTATGAAAGGCATAATAATCACGGGCCGGCCAGCCGAAGGAGCTACCAAGGGCAACCAGCACCTGGTGCCATGGTAACAAAACATTTATCCGTAATGCTGCACAGTGGATGGCGAGGACAAGAGCACTGGCAGCAGGGAAATTAGCCCTAATGGTGGAGAGAGGAGAACGAGGAGGTGCCGGATTGCAGACTGGGGGGAACTGGTGGATGCTGCAGATGTGTAGGTGGCTGGGTGGGGCTCCTGACTGGGAGGTAGGTGCTCAGAATAACCCATCTGGATTTTTTGGGGGTGACCAAAAAACTGACCAAACCAGTATGGATAAATCTATAATAATTTAAGCAAGATTTATTTGCTAACCATTTTAAAGATTTTAAAGTAAAAAAAAAAATGTTTATTTTTATCCAAAATTTTTTCTGTTGGAGTAAAACCAGAAAACTAGGCGCAAATATGCTCTGACTAACTGATAATATTTTAATAACTCAAACAGTTTCCCAAAACTCTAGATGCCTCCAGATGGTTTGATGGTTGGCATCAACCAGACTGATTCAACAGGAAAAGTTTGTGATCACCACATATCTCTAAGTAAAATTCCTTAGAATTGACTCAAATGCAACTTAAAGTTAAAGAAAGCCACAATATCCTAAATTGAATGCAAGATTGAGTTGTTGCGATAGCACATCAGGTAACTTCCTGTTCAGGAAGAAAACTGTGGAAAGCATATCACACTGTGACTGGAGCAACAATATGACTCCACTACTTTTGCAGACTTGAGCTCTGTATCTAACAAAAACTGTTCAGAAATTATGTCTTATCCAATGCACATAAAGGAATAAAGTACAGATAGTAAATTTAAGCTTAGTGCAGTGAAGCTTATAGATGAGTTCTAGGTTTTTAAAAGTTTGTGGCCGGACTCGTTAAACGCAGTGAGTGTGTGCCAGAGGGATAGAAATTAGTTGAACTTCCGTAAAAAGATTAACTGTATGCATCTTAAAAGTCTGAAAAATGTAAATAAGAAACCTTAAAATAGCAGCTCATTTTCCAGAAGATTACGCCACAACACTGTGCACCCGTTTACTCTGCTTCATTGTACGTTAATGAATTTTGCTTGTGTGCACATCAAAGGAAAAACAACAAGAAAAAAAACGTACTTGCCTCTTTTTCATACTGTGACACCACCTTTCATATTTGACTCTGTGGTTCATGAATCAGTGAATGCATGGCTGTGCACATCTCTAATTATATGTGCATGTGAGCGTGAGCGTGTGCGTGCGTGTGTGTGTGTGTGTGTGTGTGTGTGCGTGCACATGCATGACAGGAGTGGGAGTGGGTGGTGCAGAGAACTGAGAAAAGGCCCAGCGTGCCATAGAGCAGGAAGTAGGCCAGAGGGGGATTAAATGGCTGCTGCGCCACTTCCTCCATCGCCCTGCAGCCATATGATGCTGTACACTCAGTGTGTGCGTGCGTGTGTGTGTGTGTGTGTGTGTGATGGAGAAAGCCAAGCCCCTGCAGTCACAGTGCACTCCACTGGCTCTACTTAAGTGCAAAGATATGACATCATAAGCTTCAGGGAGAAATATATTTGTCCACACGTGGGTGCGCGTTTGTGTGTGTTGACTCTCTGAGCCAAGTTTCACGTCTTGGATATTGGTATCAGGATGCAATAACCTTTAAAAGCCACTTTTACAGTCTGCTGCTCAGTTGGGGTAGCACTTGGACTTAGAAGTATAAAACAAAAAGTAACTGAAAAAAAAATCAGTTATGTCAATGCTTGCATACATATAATCAATTTAATCTCAAGTATATTATACATAAGGGGAACCTCTCCCTGAACTTGAAGGTTCAGTTATTGTCCCTGAACAAAATTCTCACTAACAAAACCAAATATCAGAAACACAGTAGCAGTGGGTTTAAAGCACAGCCTGTGAATCCTGACTCACTTTGTGCATTGCATACTTTACAGTGCCATCAGGAACTCTGGGTAAAATTTTAAACCAAAATGCAACATTTATAAATAAAAGCTAAAACATAACATTCACTTAAATCTCAATGAAAAGTTGTAGAATGTCTTTTCAAATTGACAAGACCAACTTCTTATCTTCCAGTAAGCGACACTGCGACTCACTGGATTGACAAAAAACTCAGAACAGTGGAATCCAAGGAACCCTGTGAAGCTGTGATATGGAAAAAGATATCACAGATCTTTTTTGATTTGCACAATTTCTATCCATCTGCATTTTCATCTATTCCAAATTAGCATAAAGAAAAAAGAAGAAAAACTCAAACTCATGGATAGAACTGTGTCTCCATGGATCTAATAAAATTCATTTCCACGTCTGTGCAGTCAGGATTTGTAATGGAAGCTTACAAACTTCTTGTGGCCTGTTTTGAAATTCAGCAGCAACACATTTTATCTCTGCGAGAATGCTACATTACCTCCTTGAGACAGCCCATGAAGTTGTTGCTAACTGGAGATCCCGGCAGGTCGGCTGTGCTGGGGCTCCCACCCACGTAGAAGAAGTCATCTGAGCCCAGCATGGTGTAGTCCTCCTGGGTATAACCCGTGGTGGTCAAAATCCCATCCACAGATATCGTCACCTGACAACCGCGTGGGCACAAAAAGAACATTTTAATATTCTTCCTTTCAGATTGTAGATGCAGCTTGTTGAAGAAAATAATTAAAATGAACAACTGGCTGAATTCATTGGATTAATTTTAACTGCTGTACATTAACAAGAAAAGCCAACTTAAATGGTTTGCATTGCACAAAGTCAGAAGTAAACATGCAGGACAAAGAAGAACTGCAGCAAGAAAAATGACCACTTTATGAAAGAGAACTGCACTGCTAAACAACTGTGACCAGTACAATTATAAAACATGGTATCATGATGCCTAATTTAACATTTAAACAACATTTTTTATAGGAAGAGAAAAATCTAATATAACTAACTAGGTATTACTGATGCATTTAGTTACATTGTAATAAAAGAAAGGTTTATGAGTTTGAAACTGTGACATAATCAATAAAATACACAGCAGTTAATTTTTTAATAGCTTTTCTGACTGGTCAGTGGGCTCTAATCTGTGTAGATCGCTCACATTTTTGCTACAGCTTTCAATACAAATCACCATCCTTTAAAATCTACATGTATTTGATTGTTTTAAATTTCTATTAAGTTTCTGAACTTATTTTTAATATTACTGGACTTAAATCTGTCCATGTACTCTAACTTTATTTCTGTTTACTGATTCAATACTAAATCAATGTTGGTAAGTTGAAAATTCAGACCTACTTTGTTAAATAATGTTCATATCACTGCCTTGCCAGTAAATTCATAACTAAAATCCATTCTCATGTTGCCAATAACTTTTAAACTGGTTAATCCACATAAGTAAAGTAGTGGAGTCAGATCCACAGAAAATTCTGTAAATTCTGAACTGCGAATAGGCAGGGGTCCATTGTAATTGGGCAATTGGGCTATCAGACAGTTACTGGAGCACCTAATGGGTGAGCTCCTCATGGGTCCAAAGTACTCCCAAATTAACTACTGTTACTGAGAATTTATTACAGGTAAAATGTTTTAGTTTGGTTAGATTCAGTTGCCTCCTGCAGTGTGTTTTGCCTTGTGCTAATCAGTATAACGATGCATGAGTCGGCCTGATTTCCACATACGTAGAGTTTGATATTGAAGTGAAACAATCGGAAAAGAAGACTCAAGAGAGTGAGGAAAAACTTCAGAACCCAGCAGTTAGTCATTCAATTCTCAGCAAACCTTGCCAGAAATCACACAGGGGGAAGAAAAGAGAGATTGCAAACTAAGGGATGACAATGAGTTAAATGATATCTACCATACAGTGGAGTTTGTTTATCAAGTCGGGTCCAGTACCTGTAGGCTTGGCAAAAAGGTGGGTTGGGTAAGATGTGAATTTAATAAAAATTACAAATAAAAAAACAAGTGAAATGAATCTGAACATCTGTGCACACAAACACAAGGCAGGTTAGGGGGAGAGGCATGACATGAACAGAAGTGTCATGATGGATGCAACCAGAACAAACAGGTTTCTAATCTAACTGCAGGTGAAGTAATCTTCCCCAACGCTGGGCCTTACCTGTCGCAGGTTCCGGGTCACTTTCACATCATGCCATGAGTTGTCATTGAATTTCCCATTGACGGGTTCAACGATGGCTTCAAATGCTCCGGAGCCCAAGTTGATGACCAGGGAGACCGCACCGTCCTTCAGAGCCAGGTTGACGTAGTCGGCTGACTTCCCCGTGTGCAGGATGAGGCCGTTGCGCTGCCACGTCTTGAAGGACAGCGTGATCTCGTCGCTGCTGCTCTGGATCGGGTTCTGGGAGAGGTCATAACAGAAGTACTCCGAGCCACGGAAGGTGGCAACGTTTTCTTCCCTTGCTGTGGTGGGAAGAAAATGAATCAGGGTTAGAAAGATGAGAAAGACAACATTAAGCTGTGGGATCATAAGGATTCGACAGCTTGTAAAAATATTTAGCAGGAATTACTCATCAGTTTTTTTTGTGTGACATATCTGTGTTTCACATTACTCCACACACGCTCTTCTTTTTTAAGTTCTTGTTCCTTTTTTAAATTAATTAGAAAGAAAACCAGCAGAAGCCATACATTACTGCTGCAGAGGTCAGGAATCAAACCCTGTCAAAAACAAATAGCCTCCACATGACGGGTAGTAGCTCTACTGCTGTACAACACCCTGCATACATAAAAGCTCAATGCTGGCCAGATCACCCTCTTCAATATATTTGCCGTGTCCATTACTACGCTTATGGTAAACTGGAAATGGTGGTTGTCATGGCTTTCTTCCAAGAAGGGTGTATTTGTTGGTGTTAGGCTAAGCTTGCAAGGAACTGTGTGCTTTATCTGAATCTAAAAGCTGTTTTGTTTTGAAACTGACAGTGATGTAGATATAGATCAGGGAGAAGATGCAATAATCCTGTGGTAATCTTTGTAAATTTGGTCTAAAATAAGTATCACGATAAGACACCTTCAAAAATCCTCAGCACGTGACAGAAAAGAACGCTGAGAGCTACCACGTACCAACATCAAACAATAATCTTTCCAGTGAAATTGCCTGTCAGAGAGACACTGTGACGCAGTGGTCATGTTTGTGATCACACAGAGGGAAGCCGGAGACTCTGGATGTATTTATGACCTTGATCGAAGGGTAAGGGAACACACAGAAGAAGAAAGGAGTAGGGAAAAGAGGAGAGCGCAACAGCGAGCTGAGGTCTAACACAGAAAAATGGTCCACTCAGGAGTTGTTATCTGGAACATCATCTTCAATTAACTTGCTGTCTCTTCTGCAAAAATACTGGACTTTGTGTCCAGACAAAATCCAATACAAAGATACACGGATCTGTTTCTGCTGTGGAACTTTAGAAATGAAGCTACTCCCCTCTTGTTTCATGTCCAGTTTTATTTTCACACATTGACCATACCCAAATCATTGCAATAACATTTTTTTTTATTTTATGTCATTCGGTGGACAGTCTAAGACGAGGTTGACTACCTCCAACCAAGTTACACAAACCAACATCTGGATGGCATCATTCAGATGTTATTCAAAGGCCCAATGGCATCACTAGAACAACATTGTTGTTCCAACTATATTCTAAGTTCAATGGTTCCGGTTTAATGAACAGCATGTTTTCTCAAAAGTGTCTGAAACATGAAAATAAATAAATCTACATCTCTACAAAGCAATGTTAAATAAACCTATCCAACTATTTGTTGCAAATGAAGACTGCTGTCACTATGCAACTGCCTTAGAGACTTTAATCATTTATAATTATTAAAAAATCTAACTACGATCTCCTCCAAATAATCCCCACCTTCATTGGATGAAGTAGTAGAGGACTGTTCGCATCCTGCCAATGTCTCCTGGCCAACCAACGGCCTCAAAGTAGGGGTCAGTGGGAGTGGTTCACTGACCTTGAAGAATATCAGATGACAAAGCCAAACTAACTGCCCAGACTAAACCACGAGGCCACCCTCCTGAACCAAGGAAAGGGACGTGAGCGCAGCTCGCCAGTAGCTGTGTTTCCATTATAATGTAAACAAAATAAATACATAAAAAATTCTGCAATTGCAAAGTTTTCACTAAATAAAAAATGCAATTAAAATCACTTGTGAATAACACAGACAAGTCATGAAAAACCTCACCCTCCTACGACCTCCTGTCACGTTTTTCATCTTTTCCGCCAGTAGTAACATCCAGTTTTTGATAATATGACTGATGTGATGCAAAAAGAAATGTTTCCACTGCAGTTTTGCAAAATACACTAATTTTACAGCCAAAAACGCAGCTCACTGGCAAGAGACCGTGTTGTGGATGAATAGATGGATTATACAATTTCAAAATACATCCTACTGGTCAGCATTGCTTCCCTTCAGAAAAAAAAAAAATCAAAGGAGTCCAAATGAGTCCACAGATGACTGTTTGCATTTACTTTCATTTAACATAAATAACAAGAACTTAAACACCATATTTCCTTACAGATGGGCACAGAATCAACTCTTCTCAAAAACACATTGAAAACTTTTCTCCTGTTTCATCATTCAAGCTCCAAGCAAGGATGTTTTGTTCACTGACTTTTAATTTAGCACTGAATCTGTAGCTATATTCTGCAAAATAACTAAATCCTGAATTAACCAAACATTTAAAAGCATTCGAGACATATGTAAATTGGGTTCAACCACTTCATTCCTCCCGTTGAGTGCTCAACAGCTTTCATCCAACTAGATTGGTTCAAAGACCGGGTCAGCAGGGGACTGAAATGTTAAAAGTGGTACTTTCCTCTTAGCAACCATGGTCCTTCCTTAACAATTCCTGAGTTTTTTCAGTTGTTGCAACTCTCAAGGTTTGGTTGATTAATATCACCAGAGAAATGTTATGTAAATTAAAATGAAATGTAAAACAATCTGAAAGACTTTTGGCCACTGAGCAAATGTCCATTTGTCTTTCTCCTTGGCCCACATAAGATAATATTCTATTTTTTTATAGTTGTACTTGTGTAGAATGCAAAGTCCACACAAGAAAACCACAAGACAAACTCACTGCTGTGAGGCAACAGTACTATTACCACCGCACATTTTAGGGTTATTGAACAGACTGTAATTTTTATGCAAAGAATCAAGGCAGAAAAAAAAAAACAAAACAAAGATTTTCAATGTTCGCTGTAAGGAAGAAAGGAAAAAAAAAGAATGTTAAACTTCCTCTGGTGCTAAATGCTTAACACAGTGGTGATATTATCTGGGTATGGACGCCCATTGTTAAGAATGAGTGAAGTTTGTCACATTTCTCTGGTATTCATTCCACTTTGCTAACATCACATTTCTCTCAAACATTCACCGAAGCTACAATCGCTGTATTTAAGATACATCTGTTTTAATACAAGACCAGACTGTAAGAAAAATCAGACTGGGATTAAACAGCTCAAAACTTCTCGTCTTCACAAAATCCTCATAAAGTCATATGAGTAACACTGAACATCAACATAAAACTAAAGTAATGCAAAGAAAATAGGGAAAGACGATAAATACAGTGCTTTTGTTCTTAAAGTATGAGTCGTCTTCTTCTTATCTGCTGTTTTTTAAGCAGGCAAAGTCAAATTGCATCTGGTCTCCAACATAGCTCCCCCAAGGTGAGAAAGCATCCCTGTTTCTGTCTCCATCTATAGCCCACTGTGAAGAAAAATGCAGCTCAGACTGTGTGCAAGAGGAACTACGCCAGTGCATCCATAAGCAAGTTTTCCCGCAGGGATATGATAAGACTATGGTCCTTCTTTCTAAAAAATAAAAAAAGAAAAACATTATATATAGAAAAATGAACCATAAATCTACTATGCATTCATATTCTATATTCCCTCTTTTATGGCTGTGGTGATCCAGTGAAAGAAAAAAAAAATATACGAGATTAAACTTGTCCAGAGAGGCAACCATAGTGCTTGAAAGATGGTATATTAATGAAGTGAGAATGAATCTGAGGTCTTTATGGCTGAAATGAGAGTGAGGTGAGGAGATTGTTATCACCCCATAATAGTTTTAATGGCATCCGTAAGCTGTTCTATTTGGAGCCTTCATTTGATGGATGAGCTGGAATGAGTCCTGTGAGGGGTCATCCATAAAAACGTCAGAAGGAGAGATGGCAGAAGAAAAAAAAAGCTATAGACACAGTAAATATTCCTAATATCCAAAGACTGTTAGCCACTCCCGGTGGCAAAGAAATTTTGTTTTTTTGCCAAATTTTTAGCATTTTATTATTGAACGAATTACTACAGAGATAAATATTTTGTGGTAACTTTAACCTACTGTTGAGTGGATGATGATGAATGACCTGAAAGCATTTATTAATGAATAATATGGATTGTTTTGCATGAATTTTTAATGTTTTGACAGGCCTCAGTGGCACAAGGGTAATAGGTTTAGTATGAACATAAACCAGCAATAAATAAGTCATTGGCCTTTAAATAATACATTGACATTTTGATTTATGAAGTGTGGACCTTTTACTGATTCCTGCATGGCCCACCACGATAAATCATGAACTGTCTGGGATATTGGTGTCACCAGGTTCAACGATAACCAGAAAGAATTTTGTGAAATATTTTACACTAGTTTCAACATTTCTCCCAAAGTGAACACTTACATGGATCAGGCCTCTATCTGATAATATTACTTGAGAAGAAAGATTCTAACCTCTCTTTACTGTGCCATCTGGGCTTTCTCCCATTAACGTTGATTCCTCCATTGAATTTCAACCGGAACAATCAGTGAACAGAAGGCAAGGTTATGAATATATTCTGCACTGCTTTATAAATAACTGCCAGTGGTTTTAGCGAGGACAGTGGAGGAGTGAACGAAACCATTATGCAAGACTGTAATCTCATATAATAGATTATATGCGGACTGAGCATGGCCAACTCTGTCCGTGCTGGCCTTGCTTTCAATTATTGACTTGACATTTACAGCCTTCTTGTTCGACTTGGCACTTCTCCCTTTCTTCTTGTTTACAGCACATGCAATTTCCGGTAAACTTCATAGCGTCGAACTCATTCACTTGCTCATACATTACATGTGTTACAGCCAAATGGTAAAGTTTAAAACTTCAAAAGAGTCCATACCCCCAGCAAGCAACTGTTTCTCAAACGCCAAGGGTCCAGACCCTCTGTACAAAGTGAAGAATAGAACAATGGCTGGTCCTTAAAAGCATATATATA